TTTAATATAAATAAAATAATATAATTAAAGTAATATAAATCTATAACAATCTTGGGATCCTGTAATTGGATTTTGATAATTTTAGGCTTGTTAGAATCATCTTATTGAGACGGATATTTTGGTGGTAAAATCACTCAAAACGGATCACTGAGTCAAAAGTTATTTAATATTAAATTTTAAAAATTTTTGATTTTTTAATTTTTTTTTAGACAATTAAATTGCAGTATTTATAATTAGGTAGGGAGGTAGCCTCTTAGTAGCAAAATATTAGCTGATAAATATCACTCCCCTTACTATCCATTCCTACAATATCGTGCTATTGCTATTTAATTTATCTAGAATCATCTTGTATATATTGTTAATATACTCTACTACATCATTTGCTTTCTTTAAATCTGCTTCTGCTAACTTATACACACTTCTTTTCTTTTTTAATACCTGGATTACTTTGCTTAGTTTAGTCGTATTTTTGTGTATTTTTGTCACTTTTCTTTTAAATTTAGCCTCTATACTAGGGTTGTATAATTACTTCTTTGAGGTTATCTTGTTTGTTACTCTTTTAATTATATTTGTGATTATATTTCACAATTTATTTATATATTGTTCAGACCTATCAAGTCTAGATTACTTAACTACTTTGCTATTTAGAAGCAAACTATCTATCTGTTCTTTATAGTCATTCTAATTCTCTTTGGTTGCTTTATCATAAAAGAAGACTGTTTTGGCTACTCTAGTTTTCTTTATTTCTTACTCTTATCAAATACTTTAACAAAATATCAGCTATAATAATATTGTGATTACTCATCATTATAACCTCAACCTTTATAATCTCTGCTTTTATTGCCCTGTAAACAAGATTTTCTAATACTTATATCTGGTCTATTTGAGTTTTAATACTTTGGCCTGACTATGTATACATTTTTGCATCTAAGTTTAATACTCTAAATATATCTGTAAAACTCTAATTTCTAAGCCATTTGTATAGTAGTAATTAGTGTTGTCATGGGACAGCTTTGAACAATACTTTAAACAATCTTAGACAATTTTGAACAATTAAATAAAGTAAAATTACTTAAAATTTTATTAAGATAATCTATTTTAATTTTAATTAAAATAAATTCAGCACCTAAAAAAATATATAGTTATATATTTTTTAGATAGATTTATTAATTATTAAAGCTAGACAAGCTTTGAACAATCTTGGACACTTGGACAATTTTGGATATAGACAAGTCAAAAAAGGCTTTGAACAGCCAAAATATACAACACTAGTAGTAATATTTTGTATACTATATGTCTATCACCATCTTTTTTGTCTAGTACTAGGTTTGTTACTTTGTTAAAGTTTCCTATTACTATAAAGTGTGCTTTACTAGATCTCTCTATATATTTTGTAACAATTGTTCTCTAAAGCATCTTCTCTAACTCCTTATTATTTGACAAGAAGTATACTACTATTACTATGATTTTAGTTTGTTTAAAATAGAATTTAGCTTCTATTATATACTATTTTACTCTTGTAACTTGTCTGAGATACTTTTTCCATATTGTATCTATAATCAGCCCAACTCCTGAATCTTTTTTTTTTATAATCATGTTTTGTATTTAAAAATCTTTTTTTGCTATTACTCAACTTACTAAATCTTAGTTCTTTCTTATTTGTATTGTTTTAACTAACCCTAATATATTAATTTCATTTTCTAACATCCACTTATCTATTGTTTTAAGCTTTGTTTTATTACCTTTAATATTATGACACACTATATTTAACCTAATATCTCTTTTTTGTATTATGAGGCTTGACTTTGTGTTGCTTTTACTGCTTTGTAGCTAAATCTTTCTTGTATAACTTGATATTAAACAACCACTTTCCTCTTCTACAATGCCCATAGCAGCTTTTAGAAACAATTAGAGATGTTAATACCCTGTTGTCTTTTCTCAATCTTATTAAGCCTTTTCATAATTTTTTCTAACATATTACCAAATTTTTCTACTATTATTTAATCACCAGATATCATTACATTTTTTGTAGTCTTTCTTGTATTACTTATCAATCTCTTATTACTTAATTCTTTTTGGTTTTCCTTGTTTGCTCTTCTTTTTTTTTTTGTCTACTAACTAAGGCTCAATTTTGATTTTTTGTGTAGGTTTTTAAATACTTTATTTATTTCTCTCTTCTCAAGTTTATTTGAGCCTATAGTGTACTTTCTAAAGTTTTTCTTTTTATCTAGAAAACCTTTCTCTCTTAAAATATCATTGTTTCTTTCTTCTCTAGGCTACTTCTACTTTTTATCACTTTTATCTAGCTATTTGAGCTTTGTATTATAATAAAAAGTATCTTTTTCTTTAAAAAACTTAAATTCTTTTCTTGATTCAAAGTATACTGATGCTATGCATCTTTAATTCTAGTTATTATTATATAAAATATAAACTACTTTTGCATCTACTACTTTTAACTGTCTTAGCAATAGCACTTCTATTGCTAATATTAGAATATTTTTGATTATTCTTTTATATCTTGCTTTACTCTTTAGTATTTTTTTTAACAAAAGCACCAGGTGTTACTTTTATCATTTTTGCTTCTACAAAATATACTGCCCATATAGCTTAGAAAGCCTGCTTATGTCTTTCATTATGGTATTTAATTATAAAAAATACAGCCTTGTTTTTTTCTGTGGTTTCTATTCTAAAATGCTTATTTTGTTATAGAAATATAAGCATTTCTTTATTGCTTGCGACTGCACATATAACAGTAAATCTTATAGTATAAATAGCTCAGCCTAGTTTGCTTTATTTGTATTTGTCTTTACTGATGTTTTTTTTTGTTTATTATCTTTACTTATCCTTTGTACATTTTCTACAATTTTAATATTCATTAATATAAATATAACAAGTGATATCTTTTCTAGTTCATACACTAACTCTTCTGTCATATCTTTCTTTAATTCTTTGTTATCAGCCTTCTTCTTATCTTCTACTTTTAAATCTAACTCTGTATTACTTTCTTTTATCATTGGCATATATAATAACTCTTTACTCTTGACTTCATCTATACTGTAATCAACTATTCTACTCTCTTACTTTAGTAGTTTTTCTTTAATCTGTTCATCGAGTCTTGATTTTGTTATACTCTTAATTAGCTCTACCTCTCTGTCTTTGCTTTTTAAGTACTTGCTATAGTTATATAACTCTATAATTTTTCTAAAAATACTTATTGTTTCAGGTGCAGCTTTGATTAATATTGCTATTTCTTTGTTTTTTTTGTAATACTAGATGTGCATGTTTTTGTCTTGCTGCATTCTACTCTTTGGGTAATTTTGTAAAAAAATTCTTGTACTTTTCTAATTTGCTAAACCAGTTTAACTCTGCTACTACAGTTTGTCTATCACATGTTGTCATTCTGTATTATACCTGTTTGCTTCTAAAATATTATCTTGTTTCAAGTACTAGTTACACATATACTGTTTTAGTTACTATTTGTTATGTATTATGTTTATATATTTGTTTACTTTGTACAATATATAAAGATTTGCAAACTGGAATATGCCCATTTCCTACTTTTTTTCAAAAAACAAAAAAATTTTTGGCTAAAAAACTATTTCGAATATAAACTATGCTACTTATTATTGATTATTAAAATATTGTTCTAATAAAGATTGTTGTGTTTACTTTGTTTTACAACTCTAGTTAGGCGTAAGCTCTTTATCAACTTAGTAGTTTAGCTAGTTTCTTTAATTTTCTTTCTTTGAAATTTTGGTTATAGTGATCGATAGGAAGAGATTTTTGTTTTCTGTCTTTTTACTTTTTTTATTTTATTTTTATTTTTATTTTTATTATTATTTTATTATTTTTTTTTATTTTTATTATATAATTTTTTTTTTTAAAAAAAAGAATAAATTTATATAATTTTATAAATTATTATAAATAAATATAATAAATATCACACCTCCAGACGGCAGGTCTAGAGTTCGAATCCCACGAACGATGATTTTGAAAATACTAGATCTGTATCGGTTAACATTAAGATTATCAGTTGGATCCAGATATCTGTAATCTTGATCACACCATCTCAAATGGGTGCTTTGGCGCTAGAGGTCTGATCTGATGAATAGTATATTTGAATATTTACTGAATATTTGAATATTCGAATAAGATTTTTTTCACCAAATTGAATATTCGAATATTTAATTTATTCACCAAATAA